CAATAAAGCTAGGGATCCTTAACCTTGTCAAACCCTGTGTAAAAGAGAGAGAGAGAGGAGAGAGAGGAGAGAGGAGGAGAGAGAGAGAGAGAGAGAGAGAGAGAGAGAGAGAGAGAGAGAGAGAGAGAGAGAGAGAGAGAGAGAGAGAGCAGTAAAAGTACGACCAGAGAAACTGAACGAGAATGAGACGTCAAATATGAAGAGACTTAGGGAGTGAAATCAGGAAAGTGAATAATTAGCACTTTCACGGGGAAGCGCTAAACCCGTCGGGAGGAGGCGGGAAGCTTTAGGGGGAGTAATCAGGTGGTTTTTTTTTTACTGATTATCATTAAAAAGAATGGGGGGGGGTGAGGAAGCTCCATTCCCTTGGATCAAGATCCCGTCATCTCGAAGGGAACCAGACGGTGGGAATATACTTTCACGTATACTTTTTAATCATGTCAGAGGTAGTTTTAATTTCTGTGGCGGGGGAAGGGGCGCCAGCAGCAACAGCCTGGTTGACCAGGCAAGCACCAGACGAGCCTGGCCCAGGGCCGGCCTGCGGGAGTAGCAACACTCTTGACACCCATCAAATGAATGATAGTAATCGCTATCTCCGTAAACTAACAATTAAGGTAACTCGGGAAAATAATTCTTACGTGGACTGGGCGTGACAGCTACGGACGTTACCCTTCACCACCACCAAAGAAACTAACGAAGAAGAGGAATAAAAGTCTGAAGAACTGAGAAAGCAGACGTTAGATGTCACTAGCCAGAAAAATAGAAATTCCCGTCAACAGATGGCGTTCTTTGCGGTCACTCACAGGGAAGACAAACTCGGATATATTTTTTTCCCTTTTTGTGTGTGTGTTTGAGAGACGGTATGTGTATGTATGGGCTAGAGCCAGTTGGTAGTGTCCCGTAGCTATGTTGGTATGGAACTCAGTTCGCACATCGGGGTCCGTGATTCGATCCCAGGAACGCTTGGTAACATTTGGATATGTTTCCTTGAGTCACCTGCTGTCCATGTTCACCTAGCAGTAAAATAGGTACCTGGGTGTTAGTCGTCTGGTGTAGGTCGCCTTCTGGTGACAAAACTGACCTAATTTGCCCGAAATGCTCTACATACCAAGGGGCTTTCTATTTAGCAGCATGTCACTGATGTCAGCTATGGTCTATATACGTTGTACATGCATTTGTAAAAGCAAAAATTATTATTATTATTATTATTATTATTATTATTATTATTATTATTATTATTATTATTATAACGTGTAGAGCTGTTAAGGGCCCTTGAATTATCAGGGGTAACTACGACAACATTGTCTTCCCTCAAGCCACAAGCGCTCGCTCAGACAACTCTCGCTTGAGACAGTCCACTGCAAGAGAAAATTGTATTGTAACAGAGGTTTAATAACGTTCTGTCAAGGGATTATATTGCTTCCGTATCGTCTCCTTCAAAAGTGCTTTTCTTTTTCTTAAATCGGGCGAATCCATTTATTTATTATTTTTTGTGATCCGGTTTGAAAATAAAAGTTCCTGATTTCGTCTATAGACATTTTAACCGTACTCTAGTAGTGATTGATCTAGCATATGGAGTTACTATCCGTAATCTAGTAGTGTCTGATCTATTATAACAGGCTACCGTTAATAAATCTAGCACAGACTGCACTACAACAATCCTGCAAATTCACGTTAATGTAGTGAATGAGAGAATCTTGCAAAGTCTCAAATGATGAGAGATGCTTGCATAGCGTCTCTAATGATAAGAGACGTCCTCTGTTTCCTCTACTCTCCTCTCTTCTCTCCTCTCCTCTCTCCTCTCCTCCTCTGCCTCGTCTTATATCATTGATCTTCAGTGTGTACATTATAAACACTATTCACTGCTCCAATGTCTCTCTTTAACGGCTGGACTTGATACCTACACACACTCACAAATTCACACACTCATACACTCATACACTTACACACTCATACACTCACACACTCACACACTCACACACACACTCACACACACACTCACTGTGTCACTCTCCCTAGTTCGAGCTAGAAATTGTTCCCTTTAACTAGTCTGCTTGGATTTCCTACTCATTTCCGCAACATTGCAAGCTTCTAATGGCATGTTGATTGCCAAGAGCTATTATTCAATTAAACTCCCCCTGTGGTTGTTTTGCACACACACACACACACACACACACACACACACACACACACACACACACACACACACACACACACACACACACACACACACACACACACACACACACACACAGTAGAGCTACAGGACGAATGAAGCCAAACTACAAGAAAGGGGACTACAGGGAAAGAGGAACTTCCTGAACGGGGTTCAGTGGGACAGAGAACTGGCAGGGAAGCCAGTTAATGAGATGATGGAATATGTAGCAACAATGTGCAAGGAGGCTGAGGAGAGGTTTGTACCCAAGGGTAACAGGAATAATGAAAAAGCCAGGATGAGCCCATGGTTTACCCAAAGGTGCAGGGAGGCAAAAACCAAGTGTGCTTGGGAATGGAAGAAATATAGAAGGCAAAGGACCCAGGAGAATAAGCAGAGCAGTCGTAGAGCCAGAAATGAATATGCACAGATAAGAAGGGAGGCCCAAAGGCAATATGAAAACGACATAGCAGCGAAAGCCAAATTTGACCCGAAGCTGTTATACAGCCACATCAGGAGGAAAACAACAGTCAAGTACCAGGTAATCAGGCTAAGGAAGGAAGGAGGAGAGACAACAAGAAATGATCGTGAAGTATGTGAGGAACTCAACAAGAGATTTAAAGAAGTGTTCACAGAGGAGACAGAAGGGGCTCCAGAAAGACGGAGAGGTGTGGTACACCACCATGTGCTGGACACAGTACATACAACGAGGAAGAAGTGAGAGAGGGCTTCTAAGTGTGCTAAACCTCAAGGCAATGGGGCAGATAACATCTACTCCATGGGTCCTGAGAGAGGGAGCAGAGGCGCTATGTGTACCTCTAAACAACAATATTAAAATAATCTATCAAACAGAGATGCCTGAGGTATGAAGACAGCAAATGTAGTCCCAGTTTAAAAAAGGCAAGAAAGGAATGATCATTAAACTACAGACAGTGTCACTGAACATGTACTAACCATGCAAAGTCATGGAGAAGAGTAGAGGAGAGGTGGATGGACACTTAGAAGGATGAATGATCTCATCAATAGTAGCTAACATGGAGTACCAGGGACGGGAAATCCTGTGTCACAAACCTGCTGGAGCTCTAAGACAAGAGAGTCAGAGGGGTGTGAAGTGGGTAGGCATTGCATTTTTCTTGGAGACTGCACGAAGGTATTTGACACAATTCCCTACAAGAGGAGTTAGTGCAAACACTGGATTGGACCAAGCAGGGATACAAGGGAAGGCAGACACTGGTCAGGAATGCTTGTCAAGGAAAGATAGATTGGGACAGTCATGTACCGTGGAGAGGTGTCAGAGTGGGCACGTGACCAGGGGGTCCAACAGGGTCACGTCCTAGGACCAGTGCTGGTGCTGGTATTTGTGAACGACATGGCGGAAGGAATAGACTCCGAAGTGTCCCGTTTGCAGATGACTGAAGTTATGAGAAGAATTCATTCGATCAAGACCAGCAGAACTACAAAGGAACTGGAATAAACAGGTCTTGCAGACCTGTTCCATGACATTGGCTCCATGGAGTCAATCCCACCAAATGCAAAGTCATGAAGATTGGAGGAAAGGGCAAAGAAGACGCAGACGGAGTAGACAGTCTAGGGGGCCAGAGACTACAAACTCATCCAAGGAAAAAGATTGTGGGGGCAGTATAACACCGGCACATCTCCTGAAGCGCACATCAACCAAATAACTGCTGCAGCATATGGGAGCCTTTGCAAAACTCAGAAAAAGTATTCCGACACTTAATAAGGAATCGTTCAGGACCCTTTTACACCAGTGTACGTTAGGCTCATATTGGAGTATGCGGCACCCGTTTGGGAAACCCCCACCTAGCCAAACCGTAAACAAACTAGAGAAAGTGCAAAGGTTTGCAACAAGACTAGTTCCAGAGCTAAGAGGTATGTCCCACGAGGAGAGGTTAAGGGAAATCAACCTAACGACACTGGAGGACAGGAGAGATAAGGGGGGCATGATAACGACATACAAAATACTGAGAGGAATTGACAAGGTGGACAAAGACAGGATGTTCCAGAGATGGGACACAACATAGGGGACACAGTTGGAAGTTGAAGACACAGATGAATCACAGGGATGTTAGGAAGTATTTCTTCAGCCACAGAGTAGTCAGGAAGTGAAATAAGTTTGGGAAGCTGATGTAGTGGAGGCAGGATCCATACATAGCTTTAAGCAGAGGTATGATAAAGCTCACGGTTCAGGGAGAGTGACCTAGTAGCGACCAAGTGAAGAAGCGGGGCCAGGAGCTTGGACTCGACCCCTGCAACCTCAACTAGGTGAGTACAACTAGATGAGTACACATACACACACACACACACACACACACACACCACACCACACACACACACACACACACTATATATATATATATATATATATATATATATATATATATATATATATATATATATATAATATATATATATATATATATATATATATATTAATTGTATTTACAGAGCTCTCAAGTAGATGTATATAACACATGTGTTTTATTCAGTGGCTTTATCAGTCCATTGCAGAGAAGGATGCTGGAGACGTTGGAAGATGTGACGTAGTTGCAAGTGATTAGTCCCTTAGCTTTTCAGGATTGTGTGACCGACCACCTCAAACTATTTGTTCGTTTCTTCCACCGTCTCCAGTATTATTCTCCTTACTGGACTGATAAAGCCAATGGTTGACGAAACATGTCTACGTGAAGAATCCCGTGTGAGGCCTCTGTGTCTTATTCATCTCCCTCACAGTGGGGGCTAGTGTGTATACTCACCGTGTGTGTTTCTCTCCCTCACAGTGGGGGCTAGTGTGTATACTCACCGTGTGTGTTTCTCTCCCTCACAGTGGGGGCTGGTGTGTGAACGTATATGGATCAAGCACTGGATTATAACATCCTACCTCATCGGTCTTGTGTTCGGTGGTCTGATCTTCGGCTTTATTGCTGACAGGTGAATTATCTTCAGTATATGTTCATTTATATTTCTTGTATCCTGTGTGTGTGTGTGTGTGTGTGTGTGTGTTGTGTGTGTGTGTGTGTGTGTGTGTGTGTGTGTGTGTGTGTGTGTGTGTGTGTGTGTGTGTGTGGTGTAAAGATCCTGAATATTAAGAATATAAGAACAATTGAATGGAGGCCTACTTTAACAGGCCTACTGACCCATCTTGAAGCCTTTTTAAAGACACAATAATTGCTTTTTGGCGTATATTTTAATCCACTTTATAATCTACATTTTAACCCACAATTTATGGCTTAAAATATTGTTGATGGTAGAGCTGCAGTGACCTGCAGCCTTCAGTAACCAGGTACAGTCCGTAGATCTTATAACTAACAAACCAAATATTGTAACCGGAAAGCAGGTTACTATAAGTAATGACAAACCTAACCGGAATTAAAGTCCGCCTCGCTAATATAATCTTCAAGTCCCTGGATTTTGGGCTCTTACGTTAAAACTTAATGTGTAACTTGGGTCCAGAGGAGCCAGTGAATGTTCCTCCTGTGCGACGGGTTGAAAATTCAGGGGGAATTATCATGTATTATTCTGATGTTAAGGTGGTGGGTGGAAACCAGACTAGGGAAGCATTCTCTCCTTCTGCAACTGGAAAGCTTTGGTTAGATGACCTAAAACTCCAGCTGCGGGTCATTATGTGACTAAGACCAGCGTCAGGAAACACTTGACCTATTTCCTGACAAATCTTACCTAAAATAACCTTCTTCTGCCTTCTTTACTTCTGTGACTTGTAGCTTTGCTCCGACTCATTATAATTAGGATCTAGTCTATACCCTGTCCACCGTATCAGGTGTTCTGAGTACTTTGTATGTCGGTATTATGTCTCTCCTGGCTCTTCTATTCTCCATTGTCGGCATATTCAGTTTCTTTAGGTTCTCTAATATATTATTTATCTTAGCTCTAGCACTAGTTTCGTTCAAAACTTTTGCACTTTCTCCAGTTTCATAATTCTGGTGCTGCATACTTCAAGATGAGACTGATTTATATATCATAAAGGGTCGTCAGTGACTCTTTTTCTAAATTCCCAAAAACTTATGTTAGATTCTTCAAACAGGCCCTTTCTGCAGATGTTAATTGGTTAGTATGTGCTTCCAGCGATATGCTCGGCACTGTGCTCACCCTTAGTTCCATCTCCTTGTGTGAGGTTTACAGTCTTTATTTGCTGAATATACACTCAGTTTCTTTCTCTTTCTTCTACTTCCTCCTTAAGATATATTTCTCCTCGGATTCCATCTCTTGCTAATCACTTACCTTGTTATGTGTGTGTGTGTGTGTGTGTGTGTGTGTGATGTTTGCCTTACACTCGCACCCAGACAACGAAAGCCGAACTGCGCCATAATACATTTTCATATATACAGTTCACGTTTTGGAAGCAAGGGAAAAAAATAGCTCCTTTCCAAATCTGTCTTGGATAGATGAAAAACTTCTAGTGAAGGAGAAAGTCCAGAGACTTTATCTCTCGTATCCTGCATGTTTGCCAAGAGAACCCTTCGAAAGAATACAATTTAGCTTGTATTTTGATTCCTTGTTTACATACTGAAAGATGTCATTTTGTTTTGTGATGTTTTCAAGGATTTCAATGTCATTTTGTTATGTGAAGAAGTGTGTTTGGATCTAGAAGCATTGCTTTAGTGTTTCCTCTAGCCAGGAGCTGCAACGTGATTCGCATCGCATTCCTGTGGATTCAGAATGTGGATTTGGCGTGAGATGAAGACTTTAGTAGTGATTCTTGTTTGAGATGAAGACTTTAGTAGTGATTCTTGTTTGAGATGAAGACTTTAGTAGTGATTCTTGTTTGAGATGAAGACTTTAGTAGTGATTCTTGTTTGAGATGAAGACTTTAGTAGCAGTGATTCTTGTTTGAGATGAAGACTTAGAGTGATCTTTTTGCGATGAGACTTTAGTATGATTCTTGTTTGAGATGAAGACTTTAGTAGTGATTCTTGTTTGAGATGAAGACTTTAGTAGTGATTCTTGTTGAGATGAAGACTTTGTAGTGATTCTTGTTTGAGATGAAGACTTTAGTAGTGATTCTTGTTTGAGATGAAGACTTTAGTAGTGATTCTTGTTTGAGATGAAGACTTTAGTAGCAGTGATTCTTGTTTGAGATGAAGACTTTAGTAGTGATTCTTGTTTGCGATGAAGACTTTATGTATGTTCTGTTTGAGATGAAGACTTTAGTAGATTTCTGTTTGAGATGAAGACTTAGTTACAGTGATCTTGTTTGCGATGAAGACTTTAGTAGTGATTCTTGTTTGCGATGAAGACTTTAGTAGTGATTCTTGTTTGAGATGAAGACTTTAGTAGTGATTCTTGTTTGAGATGAAGACTTTAGTAGCAGTGATTCTTGTTTGAGATGAAGACTTTAGTAGCAGTGATTCTTGTTTGAGATGAAGACTTTAGTAGCAGTGATTCTTGTTTGAGATGAAGACTTTAGTAGCAGTGATTCTTGTTTGAGATGAAGACTTTAGTAGTGATTCTTGTTTGAGATGAAGACTACAAGCGTCTGTTCTTGGGTGAAATGAAGATTTTGGATTCTTACTTGAGATGCAGACTTTATTAGTGGTGGTTCCAGTGTTAACTCACGACTTTAAAAAGTAGTGGATCTCGCGTTGGGTTGAAGATTTTAGAAGTGGAGGAAAGAATGTATCGCTGAAGCTGCTTCTTCCTTCCTGCTTCTACAGGTTCGGGCGAAGGAACTTACTGATGGTGTGTGTGGCTACGGTGGGATGTCTGGGCCTGGCGCTACACTTCGTCAGGAGACTCATAGTGTTTCTCAGCCTCCGCTTCATCCAGGCCATCTTCGTACAGGTGGGTGTCATCTCATAATCAGCATCCTCCTCTTCCCAAGCCAGCATCATCCATCTCCCCTCCCACCCATCACCTCCCAGAGTTTTATCCTTCATCCTTGACAACCCACTAATTGGAGATAAATACTTAATAATGGACCTATCGGTTAGTCCTGAGCTTCGCTAATAGTTCACTAACTACTAATAAGACGTCTAAAGAGATTTGACAACTGGCTGGGTAGAAATTAATTATTTCCGCCATAGTATTGTGACTTTTGTGCTCGCTATTCGTTACAATCGCTTCGAATTATTACTGCCAAGGTGTGAATTATCATCAATTATTACTGCCAAGGTCAGACCAGGTCTCCTGGCTGATGACCTGATTAATGAGGATCTTCGTGCGCGATGCACGCAGTCAACGCAGGCACCACAACCCTGCTGATCAAGAACTGATATGGAACCTAATAAGCTGCAAATTGTTAAAGATATATATATACGTATATATATATATATATATATATATATATATATATATATATTATATATATATATATATATATATATATATATATATATGTCGTGCCGAATAGGCAGAACTTGCGATCTTGGCTTAAATAGCAACGCTCATCTTGCCATACCTGGAGTTTACCTGGAGAGAGTTCCGGGGGTCAACGCCCCCGCGGCCCGGTCTGTGACCAGGCCTCCTGGTGGATCAGAGCCTGATCAACCAGGCTGTTACTGCTGACTGCACGCAAACCAACGTACGAGCCACAGCCCGGCTGATCAGGAACCGACTTTAGGTGCTTGTCCAGTGCCAGCTTGAAGATAGGATATATCTCCAATAATTCTCACTCTTACATTCGTAAGATTCAAGCTACAGACGTGGCTCAGATCACAATGAATAACCATTCATTTCAGAGCCAGAATAAACCTTGGCTTGAGGAATATTTACTAACGTCACAGAATTGGCGAAATCTGCCAATAATCTCAATACCTTGGTTATTTACGTGAGAAAAAAAATCGAAAGGAAATCCTACATAATACGAATATGCAAAAGTTCAGTACACGTGATAGCTCAGCCAGTAAACACCTCAGAGGTAAACAAGGTCGCAAGAGGGCACCCTAGTTAGTATGTTTTGATATCTTTGAAGAGGATGCGAGTCGATAAATTCAACACATGTACAACATTTGGGTATCTCTAATGAGGAAAACGTTTCGCCACACAGTAGCTTCATCAGTCCATACGAAGGAGAATGGTGAAGAACAGGAGGAGTTTCAGGTAAGCAATCCCTCCTCAAACTCCTTCTGTTCTTCACCATTCTCCTTCGTATGGACTGATGAAGCTACTGTGTGGCGAAACGTTTTCTCGTTAAAGATAACCAAATGTTCCACATGTGTCTAATTTATCAACTTGTCGGTTCTCTGAACTAATCATCTACCAGGATACGAGTCTCAGGGTATGACAGCAGTTTAAATGTAACCCACAACACCGTGGCTGGAACAATTCACAACTAACCCACAACACCGTGGACTGGAGCAATTCACAACTAACCCACAACATCGTGGACTGGAACAATTCACAACTAACCCACAACATCGTGGACTGGAACAATTCACAACTAACCCACAACACCGTGGACTGGAACAATTCACAACTAACCTACAACACCGTGGACTGGAACAATTCACAACTAACCCACAACACCGTGGACTGGAACAATTCACAACTAACCACAACACCGTGGACTGAACAATTCACAACTAACCCACAACACCGTGGACTGGAACAATTCACAACTAACCCACAACACCGTGGACTGGAACAATTCACAACTAACCCACAACACCGTGGACTGGAACAATTCACAACTAACCCACAACACCGTGGACTGGAACAATTCACAACTAACCCACAACACCGTGGACTGGAACAATTCACAACTAACCCACAACACCGTGGACTGGAACAATTCACAACTAACCCACAACATCGTGGACTGGAACAATTCACAACTAACCCACAACACCGTGGACTGGAACAATTCACAACTAGCCTACAACACCGTGGACTGGAACAATTCACAACTAACCCACAACACCGTGGACTGGAACAATTCACAACTAACCCACAACACCGTGGACTGGAGCAATTCACAACTAACCCACAACACCGTGGACTGGAACAATTCACAACTTACCCACAACACCGTGGCTGGGACCACGAATAATACACAGCTAACCAGCAAACACCGGACGAGCATCTTTCTGTAATACACTCGAGAAAGGGACAGTAGGAAGACTCAAATTTCCCATTCCATATTTATCCAGTGGAATAAACGACCTCCCCCAACTCAGTCTTCTCTCTCTCTCTCTCTCTCTCTCTCTCTCTCTCTCTCTCTCTCTCTCTCTCTCTCTCTCTCTCTCTATCTATCTATCTATCTATCTATCTATCTATCTATCTTCCAATAATATAATAATAATAATAATAATAATAATAATAATAATATAATAATAATAATAAAATAATAATAATAATAACATCCATATCTTTAGATAAATAGATGTAATTTATTTTTCATATTTTTCTTCGTCTGTAATTCTGCTGTTCTTACCTTTCTTACCCAAAAAAAAAAAAAAGCAAATTCCCAAGGTTCGCCAATACCCTTTTCCCCATCAACCATTTTTTGGATCCCCCTCTCATTGTAGTCTTCAAGATTTCCAAGAGTGATTTACGGATTCTCTTTGTGGAAAATACAGGCCAATGAGAGCCACCGTGCATTGGCTGCCAGGAAATACGACCATGCAGGTCGTTCCTTCCCAGAGCACGATACAATAAGGCTCAGGGGATCTGTGTGTTCTTTTCCTCCGCTGCGAGATGAGGATCGAGGAACGAAGCTGACAGCCTCCCGCTCGTATTTATCTGCGGGAGGACGGGAGGAGCTGCAGCTCTGATGTATTGTTCATATGTCGTGTTGGTGGCGAGGGGGCTGGTGTGGGAGAGGTGTTAGAGGGGTGAGAGTGTTTTGAATGGCTGAGGGAGTGTACGCCTGTGTGAGAGTGGGTGTGTGAAGCCATAGGGGAAAGTAGGACTTTCCGCAAGAACTCTTGGGCTGATAGCCCACGAAGACACGACTCAATCTTTCACACTAGAGGAAGACCTTGGGCTTTCCGCAGGAACTCTTGGGCTGATAGCCCACGAAGACACGACTTAACCTTTCACACTAGAGGAAGACCTTGGACAGTCTTCTGGAACTCACGACCTGTAAGATTTCCACACTGACGTGGAAGAAATCTTTCACACATGAACGCTTAACGAATATGCTTACTTCAACCTAAAAAAAAAAATACCTTTATGCATAAGAACAAGCGTTCAGAAAAATGTGTTGGGTAATGGGTCGTAAAACGAACGAAGGTGAATGAGAATGTGAAGCTCTTAAGGTCTTTCTGGGATGTGTAAGTTTAGATACAAGGGAATCTTACAGCGGGAACTATTACGTACACTTTGATTACTGTAACATCCGTTGATCCACTGTGAATTGTAATAATAATAATAATAATAATAATAATAATAATAATAATAATAATAATAATAATAATAATAATAACAACAAATACCTTGCTTGTCTCCGGCAGGGTGTGTACGTTACTAGCTGGACGTTGGTGGCTGAGCTGTTTCCTGCTCGGTGGAGATGCAGGGCCCTGGTTGCCGCCGGCATGGCCCGACCCCTTGGTGTGGCCCTGGGTGCACTGCTTGCCCTCATGGTCCAGCACTGGAGGGCCATCCAGCTGGCACTCTCACTCCCGCTGCTCATTTCTCTTGTTTATTGTTGGCAAGTTACTCGCCTCCACACTAAGTTCACAGTTTATTTCTAGCCTTCTGTTCCACTCTGTCTCTCTCACCTTTGCTTCTTTCTCACTTTTTCTCTGCCTCTCTCACTTTCTGGGCGCTTGTGTGTGTGTTCTTCTCGACTATTATTCGCATTTTTTCTGTTTATTTTTTTTTAATTCCCGGTCTGTCCTATTTTTTCGTTTTCGCTTAATCTCCTGTTTCTCAGTTTTTCTAATTCAGTCTATCCTCTCAGTGTGGGTTATCTCCATTATTTTCCACGTTCCATTATCTCTTTCGTTCGCATATATAGTATATATATATATATATATGGAATTGTGGTGAATGTTTATTCTATCTGGTTGGAGATAATGAGGCCCTGGTTCCAGGCATTGGCCGACCTTGGTGTGGCCCTGGCCAGGGCTACCCTCATGGTCCAGCAGTGAGGAAACAAGCTGGCATCTTCTCGATGGTTGTTCTTGTTTTTTGTTGCAGTACCGCATCCACACTAGTTCACTAGTTTTATTTCTAGCTCTTTTCCCACTCTGTCTCTCTCACCTTCTTCCTCTACTTTTCTCTGCCTCTCTCCTTTCTGGGCGCTTGTGTGTTTTTTCTCGACTATTATCTCGCATTTTTTGTTTATTTTCTTTAATCTCCGGTTGTCTATATTTTTCGTTTTCCTAGCTATGCGTTTCTCATGTTTTTCTAATTCAGTCATAGGCTCATATGCGGGGTTTCTCCATTTTTTCAATGTGAACTTTGTTCTTTCGTTTTGTCATATACCACTAGTATATATCTGTGATATTATAATATAATATATATTATATATTATATATTATATCAATAAGATCATAGTGAACAGGTGATATCACAATATGCAGAACAACCACTGTGAAAAAATAGTGAAATTCCAAGCGCTTTCGTGACTTCTCACATTATCAAGGAATTGTAAAAATAAGAGAACAACAGAAAGGCATATAAAGACGAGACTACACCTCGCGGTCAACTTACAACACCTGACCTTTCATGATGATGTAGGTACGTGGTCAAAGACGTGTTCAACACAGTTTTAAGATTTTAGCTTATCAAATATATCATAAATTCTTCCCAAATTTTATTAATTAAACATGAATCCAATTTGCATAATCGTAAAGCAATATTGATATTAATACACATCTATTATTTCGGTTTTTTTCCTGATAGAATATATGAGAATAACGGAAGAACACTGAATTAGACCTGCTGGCCCATGCTAGGTAGGTTCATCTTAAACGCAAACCAACCACGTCTACTTTACGTTTAAATTGTCTTAGACGTAAATGGAAAAAGATTAAGTCTCGTCATTGCGTTATTCATTGTGACCGACTCACACATGAAGGTCAGATGAATGTCGTCATGACACTAGGATGTAGGTGGCCGGCTCTCACCTGCAACACTGTGTGGGCTCGAACAGGTGTTTCACTCCACACTCAAATGTTGTTGCCTCTGGGCTCTTGGTACCTCTTCTGTTAATGACCTTACTATAGTCGACTCTTCTAAAACTTAACACATTAAAAAATAATACCTTAATAGCGATGATGATGATGATGATGATGATGATGATAATAATAATAATAATAATAATAATAATAATAATAATAATAATAATAATAATAATATAATATTGATTGTAGTAATAGCAGAAGTAGTAATAGTAGTAGTAGTAGTAGTAGTAATAATAATAATAATAATAATAATAATAATAATAATAATAATAATAATAATAATAATAATAATAATAATAGCAACAATAATAATAATAGCAATAATAACAATAATTCCAACCAGAAGGATTATCCCAGGTGACACAACCAGAGGAAAACATCCGAGTTTCTCGTGATTCTCAGGTAGAAATTGATGTCCGTTATGCAGGTTATGTCCCACCTTTCAAGGTGCTGATTTCATCATTGAATTTGATGCTATTGAAGGACTTTTGATCCAATGGATAATTGTAACGTATTTATTTCCTTGGCTCAACCCTTCTGTGTACATAATAATAATAATAATAATAATAATAATAATAATAATAATAATAATAATAATAATAATAATAATAATAATAATAATAATAAGCCTTTTCTTTGATATTTTGATATGTACTGATGATACCTGTATCTCTGAGAAGTATTTATGTGTCTCACAGAGAAATACCTGTGTCCTGAGAAGTATTTATGTCCCTGAGAAGTATTTATGTGTCTCAGAGATGAATGCCTGTGCCCTGAGAAGTATTTATGTGTCTCAGAGATGAATGCCTGTGCCCTGAGAATTATTTATGTGTCTCAGAGATGAATACCTGTTCCCTGAGAAATATTTATGTGTCTCAGAGATGAATACCTGTGTCCTGAGAAGTATTTATGTGTCTCACAGACGAATACCTGTGTCCTGAGATGTATTTATGTCCCTGAGAAGTATTTATAGTATTTATGTGTCTCACAGGAGGATACCTGGGTCCCTGAAAAATATTTATATGTCTCATAGGAGGATACCTGCATCCCTGAGAATAGTTATGTATCCCACAGGATGGTTCCAGAGTCTCTCAGATGGCTGTTGACTCGTGGGAAGACCCGTCGGGCGCGTCAGGTGGCTGCCCAGCTGGCCAGACACAACCAGCTGACCCTGCCGCCCACCGCCCACGCCCAGATGGATCACCTGGCCGCCCACGTCTACCTGGACGTGCCCTGGGGCACCCTCGTCACCCTCTTCAAGACGCCACGTCTCAGAAAACACACTCTCGTCTTGGCTTTCATGTGGTGAGCGTCAGTACTCTGTGTTAGTACCAGTACTCTGTGTTAGTACCAGTACTCTGTGTTAGTACCAGTACTCTGTGTTAGTACCAGTACTCTGTGTTAGTACCAGTACTCTGTGTTAGTACCAGTACTCTGTGTTTGCTTTCTTGTAACCCCCCCCCCCCAACCACCCAAAAAATATGCAATTTAAAGGAAGAAATATTGTTGTCTAGAGGTGAAAGGCTTAAGTGTAGACTGAATGACCCTTGTGCAGTCGATAGGCTTTAAACCCCCATTAACCACCCATACGAAGTATTAAATAGTTGACTCACGAAATCGTAATGACACGATTGCAAATAAAACCTACCCCGGCCGGGATTGAACCCCGGTCAGAGAGTCTCAAAACTCCAGCCCGTCGCGTTAGCCACTAGACCAGCTAGCCACAATAAGATTCATCCAACTAGATATATTTCTACACCATAGGAAGGTTAGTACAGGCACCTCTGTGACCACAAATGCAAGATTCGTCTGTAAAAACTTGCATTTGTGGTCACAGTGGTGCCTGTGCTAACCTTCCTATGGTGTAGAAATATACCTAGTTGGATGAATCTTATTGTGGCTAGCTGGTCTAGTGGCTAACGCGACGGGCTGGAGTTTTGAGACTCTCTGACCGCGGGTTCAATCCCGGCCGGGGTATGGTTATTAAATAGCTGCTTAATTATAGGGAGACATTATTATTATTATTATTATTATTATTACTATCATTATTATTATTATTATTATTTTTATGTTCACGGGGATACCCTAAATCCTTAGGGAACAAAACATAGAGCATACGAAAGGAGGAACACTGCAGTAGGCCTACTGGCCCATACTAGGAAAGTCCTTCTCGAACTCGAACCCCATAACTAAAAATATTAACCCAGGGAATTTTCAATACTACCCAGGAAATTTCCAGTAATGAGTTTTGAGGCGAGGAAGAGAGAGCAGAAGAATAAGACGCTTGTGTAACTCCTTGTCTGTACTGTTTACAGTAAACAGGCAGCAAAGAACGTAAATTACATTCAGAACGCGAGCCGTAACTGGTCATGAGTCCTTCAACAGGATCAAGGGGCTCTGGTTCCTCTCCTTCGATCGTAGCAAAGAAAGCAAATTATCTTCTGAAGGCGAGACATAAATCGCTAAAGTGTAATACAATGCAAATTTACGCTAAGTTTGCGAAACTCTCTCCCTCACTCTTACAACTTACGCTAAGTTTGCGAAACTCTCTCCCTCACTCTTACAATTTACGCTAAGTTTGCGAAACTCTCTCCCTCACTCTTACAATTTACGCTAAGTTTGCGAAACTCTCTCCCTCACTCTTACAATTTACGCTAAGTTTGCGAAACTCTCTCCCTCACTCTTACAACTTACGCTAAGTTTGCGAAACTCTCTCCCTCACTCTTACAATTTACGCTAAGTTTGCGAAACAACTTCTCCTCACTCTTACAACTTACGCTAAGTTGCGAAACCTCTCCCTCACTCTTACAACTTACGCTAAGTTTGCGAAACTCTCTCCCTCACTCTTACAATTTACGCTAAGTTTGCGAAACACTCTCCCTCACTCTTACAACTTAGCTTTACTCATCTCTATTTCACGGTGGATTCGACACGGGGAAAAGAGAAAGTTTCTTGCTTTCAATGACTTTCTTACTGATCGTTCAGAGGAAATCTATGACCACTTTACCCACGAGGAAGAAAGTATTAGAATACATTTAGTGGTGAGTTTATAGTCGCTTCTGCGTCGTCTTGAAGAAAGATGTGTTTCAGTGTTCAGAAGTTTTCTGAAGAACAAGTGTCCGTAGATGATATTGTGTGTGTGTGTTGTGTGTGTGTGTGTGTGTGTCTGTATACTCACCTATTTGTGGTTGCAGGGGTCGATTTATAGCTCCTGGCCCCTCTTCACTGATTGCTACTGGGTCCCCTCTCCTTGCTCCATGAGCTCTATCAAACCTCGTCTTAAAACTAAGTATGGTTCCTGCCTCCACTACGTCACTTTCTAGGCTATTCCACTGCCTGACAACTCTATGACTGAAGAAATACTTCCTAACATCCCTTTGACTCATAGGAGTCTTCAACTTCCCATTGTGACCCCTTGTTTCTGTGTCCCATCTCTGTAACACATCCTGTCTCTGTCCACCTTGTCAATTCCTCGCAGTAATTTATATGTCGTTATCATGTCTTCCCTGACGATCCTGTCCTCTAGTGTCGTCAGGCAGATTTCCCTTAAACTTTCTTTGTAGGATAATTCCCTTAGCTCTGGGACTAGTCTCGTTGCAAACCTTTGCACTTCTCTAATTTCTTGACTGCTTGACCAGTGTGGATTCCAAACAGGTGCTGCATACTTCAGTATGGGCCTGACGTAAATGGTGTACAGTCTTGACCGATTCCTTACTGAGGTATCGGAACGCTATTCTTAGGTTTGCCAGACGCCCGTATGCTGCAGCAGTTATCTGATTGATGTGCGCCTCAGGAGATATGTTCGGTGTTATACTCACCCCGAGATCTTTTTCCTTGAGTGAAGTTTGCGGTCTTTGGCCACCTAGACTATACTCTGTCCGCGGTTTTCTTTGCCCTTCCCCGATCTTCATGAGTTTGCTTTTGGCAGGGTTAAATTCAAGGAGCCAATTGCTGGACCAGGCTTGTAGCCTGTCCAGGTCTCTTTGTAGTCCTGCCTGATCCTCGACCGATTTAATTCTCCTCATTAACTTCACATCATCTGCAAACAAGTGTGTGTGTGTGTGTGTGTGTGTGTGTGTGTGTGTGTGTGTGTGTGTGTGTGTGGTCTGTTAATCGCTTTTGAGGTTCTCTGGCACTCTTTCTGGCTGTCTTTTTGGCAGTCAGTCTGGCATTCTGGCACTCTCTCTGATTGACTGTCTCTCTGGCACTTTCCTTTGGCAGTCTGGCATTATCTCTGGCATTCCATTACAAGTTTTTAATTCTTCAGCCCATAATTCCCAAGCGTGGGAAACGTGCATGCCCCACCCTCCGTCTGACCTAGCAGACGAGACTGGAGTATATACCCACTCTGCCCCACTGACTAGTCAAGTTCCGTGTGCTACCACCGTACATAATTATAACACTGTCCAGTGAAATCATACGTCGATTGTCTGAAAAAAGTTTGTCTACATCTGGTATAATTATTCAGTGAATTGTTTTCCACTATTAGTGAACCGTCGTAAAAAAAAAAAAAACTGATACTCACGAATTTTTTATTTTTTTCCGATCAACGTAGCGAACCAACGAGGGTAGTAAGCTTTTGTACATTATTAATCACCATATTCCCTTTGAGTAGAGCTCCTGTGGAAAAAGATTTAACTAGATTCGATCCCATGTTGGTAAAGTTGGCCAATATGGGATTAGATTGGATCCCTTATTGGCCACAGATGCTCCGTATACACACTTGTGGGCAGCTCTCTGTCTCAGGGACTCGTTAACCACAGTCATGGAGGATACACAGAATTCGGCTGGTTTTCAAGTTTAGTCTTATTAATTGATCAATTTCGACCCGCATTTAAATGAGACCTGATCCTGTATGAATGAGACATGATACTGTACGAATGAGACATGATCTGGTACCAGTGAAGCATGATCCTGTGCCTGTGTAAGTCAGGCACGATAACCCCATTAAAAACACCCTTCGGAAAGTTATTCTTGCACATTCACCTTAATTTTGTCCTCCCCAGGGAAACAGATTGAAGTGACTCCCTTAATCCGTGGAAGGAAAACTAAGTAGCAGTAACTAAATATTAGTGTAACACTGGATGTGGGAAATTTCTCGTATCATAGTGACCCGATCCATTAACTGGGTCGCTATACCCCCGATATTTAACACTGCTCACGTGTTTGCCAAAATTCCGAGACCTTTTGACCACTGAGCGATAAACACGTAGGGGTCACGTGGTTAGGGGTTACAGAAGGGAATCCAATTTAATTCAAGCAGATTCTAAATCCGAATCGCCCGAACCAAGGTAAAAAAATATTAATTGCCCGCAGGTTAGCAGTGTCGCTGGCTGATGGTGGGTTCCGGCACAATCTAGCTGGTGCTGGGCAGATGAGTGACCTGCTGGGTGGCCCTGGCCACCTGGGATACCTGCTGGGGGCTGGAGTTGAGGCTGGGGCTGTGGTGTTGGCTGTGGTCCTCAGCACACAGCTGTACCGCAGGGCCTTCCTGGTGCTCACCCTCCTGCTAAGTGCTGCTCTCTCCCTCGCTGTCATCTGCGTCCTGCAGCTCGTTAAGGGTGAGTCAGTGAGTCTCAGTAGAGTCAGTTCAGTGACTCTCAGTTCACTTCACTTCATCAGTGCTGAATTCACTGATGTTCACTTTGGTCACGCCTCGCTACC